TAGAAAATTGGGTTGCGGCCATAAGAGATTCTATAAAAAATTCTTACATTTTAGCACTCTTGAGCGATTTTGGAGATAAAAATTATTTTTTATAAAATTTGGCAAAGAAAATAAAAATAATTGCCAATCGTCCAATCATTTCGGGAAAAAATCTGAAACTTTGCTTAGTTTTGGTTAGGTTTGTCAACAGGGTGCTTTTGATCTAAAAATTAGTATAACCTATACCTATTTTGCAACCGTCATATGAATGTTTTAGTAGTAAGTAAATATGTATTTAGATTAGTATTTATCAATTCCTATTCAAAAAATGATTTATTAATGCAGTAAACAAAATTGGGGTTTCTGTAACCCAAAAGTGTTAGTTTATTCTGTTGACCATTCCTTTTTTGAAAATTTCCTTTACTTCCCTTTTACCTAAAACGCCTGAAAGATAATTATTACGAGGCAAATTAATTAAATGATCGAATGATCAAAAATAAAAAAATATATATGTTTGTCTCCAAAACACCGAAAATTGTAAAAATATCAAGAATATGCCAATAACAAAAAAACTGGCAATGCCGCAGCGTCTAGCTTCAAAGTCAATCCATTTTTCTTACTTCGCACATGTGTTGATATTTGTCTCCAATGAACTCAATTTAATTTTGCGACAGGAAACGAAATTTTTTAAATTAAAGAATAAACAAATGATTTAAGATCTAGAACAAATCGACCAGACTACAACTGACGATAATTTAAGTGAAACGTGCGTAAGTGGCGTAAACAAGCACGACTACCAGTCCAAAAGCCTTAAAATAATGTACACGTATACGCTGCAAGACAAAGATTATGGAAAGACACTTACATAGAGTTAATTATGATGTATGCGATACCGTATATCTTTCAGTAGTTAATAATAAAAATTACTGTGTAGTTATTTTTCATGTATTTGCGATTTTATTGCAGAAGTAATAAACATTCACACTTTTCAACACACTTTCCAAACACAACTGCTTGACAGCTGGTGTGCAGCACAAGATATGGAAGTGCAGTAGGTTGCCTCACACTCCTCTAACCACAGTCCTCGCAACTATTAAATGATGACGTCACTCGTCGACCCAGTTTTCAACCACCGTCTTTTCAACTCACATCAACAAATATATGACTATTTTTTTAATTAAATAGATGAACTTTCCAAGAAAATACATTTGCTCGTAGGCAATGTTTCAGGATTGCCAGTAAATCAAACAAAAATTGTTTCTACATCCGAAGGATCCAAAAGAACTCGACATATAATCACAATTAAACAATAGCAATAAAAACTAAATTGTAAATAATGAGATGCATATTACTTACTTATTTCACCATTCACAGAAAAAAAAAACGAATAAAAATTGTATGAACACATTACCGCAATTATTTTAAATCCTATAAATATTGTCTTCATTGCAAAGATGCAACTGTTAGAATTACTATTTAAATTAATCCAGTTCAAGTTGCGCCAGCTAGGTAGAGCCAATTAAATTATTTTTTTGCATTTTGTGGTTTCCGCTATCATTGTTATGGCCCCCGTGTCATGTATCGGTTAAATAGTTGTATTCATCTAGGTTTGCGCAAATAAAAGTTGTACGTGAAAAAGATTCAAGTTTCCATTCTTGCGAAAACGGCTAATTCTTCATCGTCACCATGTATGTTGGGTTTTGAGAATTTAGCTGGTAGAGATAATTTCAATAATTGGAACTTCGGAATAAAAATGGCGTTTGATAGATGGGTGTCCTACATTGTTCTATGGTTTTATATTTTAAGGCTAGGACCATAGAGACGCGTTATGTAATATTGTATGATGTTTCCGGTCTAAAAAAAGTGTCTAGTGTAATTATTTAAAAGTATATTGAATACAAAACAAAATCAAAAGCCTTTAGCAAAAATTTGTCTTATGGTGCAGCCTATGCCATATCCGCATGTCAGAACGGCAGTTCGGCAAAGCAAGCTGTTGTTTACTTAATTGGAACGATTCGAAGATGAAAATTTCAATTGATTTTGTCGAGACGAAACTGGTTCAAGACGAGAGGAAAGAAGTCTGAAAAGACAATCTTATTATCAAAGAAAAAGATAACAAAAAGAGGCAAAGTGGTTCCACTGTGACCAAAAATTAATGTAAGCATGAGCCATTAGAAGAAGAAAAGAAATAAAGGAACAAAGAATTATTCTAAAACAGAAATAGCTTTACAAAATGTGCAAGTAAGAGCAGGTTCGGTAGTACACACATTCAAGGAGTACTATATACTTTGATCACGAATGGATGGGTGTTTGTGCTTTCAAAATAATTAAAACAAGGCTGAAAAAGCTCTCAAACGTCAATTCACTAATTTTCACCACGGGCCTAACAACTCTCTTCTTTTCTGCCAATACGCCCTGAGTTCATTTTCAATTCAATGATGGGTTTCACAAAAAATTTTTGGGCACGACTACCAGGATCATTCGCCCATACGCCCTGAGTTAATATAATCCGTAATTTAACTAACCTCGCTTAAGCGCGGTAGATGGCGAGACTCAGATTAATATTAAAATTTAGGAAAACTTACAACAGTCCATTTAAATTAATAACATAGTAACGGTATTTTCACACGCGCAAAAATAAACTTCGTTAAGGGCTTGGATCCTTTAATAGAATTTGAACGCCGTGCACGAATTTGGATGTTCATGCTTACAAAATAGTTAAAAGAAAACTGAATAAAATCTTTTTTTCTCCCTCTTTTTCGCAGTAAACTTAACAACTTTTTTCTTTTCCGGCATTTCACCGTAAGTTAACATAATCCGGACTTAATTAACCTGTCCTAAGCGCGATAGATGGCGCGACTCAAATTAAAATAAAAAAAATAAGAAATCCTATTGCAACATGAGTTATCAGAAGGGTTTATTCTCCAATTTTGAAACTAGAAGTGGATCGTAGCTAATAACCAGAAAGAGCCTTTTTTGTCAGTCAACCAGGTGAAGTGGTGTGCACAATTTTATCTCGGATTTTAGGAAAATTAGAATTTTGTAGAAATTCAAATTGGCGCAAAAGTTAAGGTTAGGATTTTTAATGATAACCAGAGTGCTAAAAAATTAGTGTTGGATCCAATATTCCATAACAGAAAAAAACAGTTTAATACAAAATATAATTTCATTAGGAAAGCTGTAAAAATAAGATTGTACTACATTTCAACTAATAAAATAATTTCCGATGTTTTTACAAAATTACTTACTAGTGTGAATATTTTGTAAAGCATTTAGGTTTGAGATAAAAAAAATAGTTTATTTTCATCAACTTTGCATTTTGCGGGTCTAGGAATTGTTATTTATATTAATCCAGTTCAAGTGGCGTCAGCTATGTAGAACAAATTATTTTCTTGTATTCTGTGACTGTTGGGATATTTTATTATCATAGCCGTCGTGTCGTGTATCGGTTAAAGGTTTGTTCACGTTTTTACAAACCAATTAATGTCGCATATCATCACCATTTCGTACTAACAAGTGACTTGATGAACATTAAATGTATTGTAGGAGGGTTCCTGAATAGCATGTATTCTGTAAACATTATATCATGCAGAAAGTGATCTATCTGATTCTATCTTAACTGTCAAAATAAAGTTCCTACATTTCAAAATAAGAACTTTAAAAAAAATTGAATAGGCTATCAAGAGGCAAGCTATTCTTCGGTTTTCAATGCGAAACTTTTTCCATTTTCTTTTGTGTTTGTCCATTTGACACTTACCTTCCGTCTAATCTAGCTTCAATGTCAATTCAAATTCTCGTTTCGCACACCCTGTAGTTGTAACTTCAAACGTGTCGTGTCCGATGAACTTAATTTCTTGCTTATTTTTTGCGATAAAAAGTGGAATTTTGAAATTAAAAAAAAACAAATGGTTAAAGATCTAGGGCAAATTGATCAATCGATTATTTAAGTGACTCGTGCGTAAGTGTCGTAAACAAGCACGACTACTATCCTAAAAGCATTAAAATAAAAATCACATATACAAAAGTTGCCGAGTATTTTTCGTTGATGAGAAGAGAAAATTTATTGTACCTTGAATTACAACCGCTTGTATGAATGTTGCATAATTCCCTTATCGCATTTTAATCTTTTTAAAGTTTGAGTTGATTGACCATATACATTATTAATTTACTAAGCCATCTACCGTGCGTTAACTTCATACATATTTCCACATTCTTCTGTTTTAAGGTATCGTGAAATATTTGACTATTTATCTGGGAAAAGTTCATATGTCGAAAATATTATGTGTATGTGGCCCTGGTAGGTTTTCTTTGCTATTATGATTTTATTTTTTTCAAAATTAATTTATCTATCTTATTGATGATTTTGGTTTTCTTTGCTATTTTATTACTTGTTTTTATTATTTAATATTTTCAAAATTAATTTATCTATCTTACTAATGATTTTAAGATATCGCAGTCAACTTTACTATTTTTTACAGAAAATTTAAGTAACAAATAATTGAAATGAAACTCACTCACATCATAAATTATTTTAAAAAAATTAGAACAGTTGGAACTTACTGGAGTAACAAATTTGGCACTAAAAATGGAAATTTTCGATACTCCACTAGGTGCCTACAATAAATTTTACTATTATTTTTAATCCATAGAGACATAACGATTTTCTAGCTCTGAATTTGATCCGGGTATATGACCATACTTTACGCCGACTCTAAAAGCCATGCAGTCTAAGCAATCAGAGTTATTGAACGCCCCATTTTGTGTATTATGTTCAAAACAGAGACTCTCTGGGCTTACGACTACAGCTACCAGCTACTACTTTCAATAATATTAACACAAAAAAAGTAGGTGGCATTTCTATAATAGGTGCAAAGTTTATGTGAAACTGACTGGAAGACAGAGTAATGCACCAATATGTTACTAAACATATTTCCATAGAATTCCGTAAGAGTTTACCTCCAAGTTTTCTCATTTAGTCAGTCAAAGCATCAAATGGGAAATTCCAATCCAATATATGTAGTGGTGGAAATATATCAATCGCCTACGTTACCGATGGTACCCGACTGAAGCTTCTGCGTCTTCTTTACCCCACATGCCGACTTCAAAAGATACTGGTCTAAGTCTCAATATTCCTTTTAAAAAAAGAGAGGTTCTATATTGTCATAAATATGTGTTTTCAAAATTTTACCTGAATGGTTCGTGATTCCTTATATATGCCGTGTTGGCAGCAATGTGGCGACGACTACGCTTAAACTTTCCACATCTCGTGTCCCCATGACTGGTCTGTTTCATATATGAAAGGTCACCTCGCACCGCTTTGAACCTCCTTAAAAAAATGAGGCAAGTCTTGTACTTATCATATCAAAACTTATTTCATCACCTCCAAAGGGGGGAGTAGGGGTTTCTAAAGTATGGTAGGTGCATCTCCTTATTTTTTTAATTAAAAAAAGTGACATAATTACGCGACGTAACTCGATCCGGATCGTTAACGCGTCTCAAGATGGGGGTTTAGAGATGCTGAGGCCATTAAATTGATTCACTAATACCAGTACATACTGAAACCCCTTATTTCCAAAATAAAAAATTGTTAACTGTTAACACACAAAAAAAAAACTATTTTCTCACCAATTATATTTCTGGGGTCGTTTTCAGAATTTGTCCAACGTAGAATCCCAAGAGGATAGGTCCGCGATTTCGAAAAATGTTCATGTCTCCCCGCTATGCATTTGTACACGAAGCAGGGCCGGATTAACAGCAATTATATTCTTGTCAGTCAACATACAGCCGCCGATTGAATTCTCGGATTCTGCCTTACTAGTTGCCATGGTCTGTCAAATATGTTACTTAAAAATTGTATATTTTTTTTTACAAATAATATACCTTTCCTAAAATAATTCCGCCTTTATCAAGGTGGACAAGGGCACGTCTGGCCGCTTTGAAAAGCGCGGCGTATGTATCTTCCAAAATGATCCAAATCGTTAACCTTTTTTTGATTTTTTGATTCCTCGTTATGCAAATCTAAACGGAGCAGGCTCGGATTGTCAGCAAATACACAACTCGCCGATTCAATTCTGAGTTGTTGCTTCACGAGTTACCATGATCTGTCAAATATTTAATGTAAAACAATCTTATCTATTACTTTTACCCCAATATTAAGTACCTATTTAAAATTAGTAGCGCCTTTTCGAGTTCGAAAGGTTTTGCAAAAAAACGGCATTGCATTTGTACACGAAGCAGGGTCGGATTGTAAGCAAACAGCACCCCCGGTCACTTTTCTTCTCGGGTTCTGCTTGACGAGTTACATCGATCTGTGGAATATTTAGCGTAAAAAAAAATTATCTATTACTTTTACCAAAAATGAAGTAACTTTTTTCTTTAAAATTTGTTCGTCCTTTTCGAGTTCGGAATTTTTCGTAGTCTATATCGTCTGCCAATTGTCCAAAATCGTTGAACTTTCAGAGATTTTCAAAATTCGCCCCAACGCAGCCTTCCACGCACGCACGCAGTTTCGAAATCTTTCATGTCTTCCCGCTATGCAATTGTACACGAAGCAGGGTCGGATTGTCAGCAAACAGCACCCACCGTCACTTTTCTTCTCGGGTTCTGCTTGACGAGTTACATCGATCTGTGGAATATTTAGCGTAAAAAAAAAATTATCTATTACTTTTACCAAAAATGAAGTACCTTTTTTCTTTAAAATAGTTCGTCCTTTTCGAGTTTGAAAGGTTTCGTAGCCTATAGCACTGCCGAAATGTCATTGCATTTGTACACGAAGCAGGGTCGGATTGTCAGCAAACAGCACAAGCCTCACTTTTCTTCTCGGTTTCTGCTTGACGAATTACATCGATCGGTCAAATATTTAATATAAAAAATATCTATTTTACCAAAAATACGTACTCTTCTAAGATAAATTAGCTATTTTCGAGTTTAAGAGGACAAGTATCGTCAACTGTAGGATGTTTTATTATTATATTTTCCAGTGTCTATAAATTAATAAACAACAGAAACTTCCGAATACAAAAATTTCAACATGAGTTTTTTTTTCTTGAAACTTAAAAAGTTCTAACCCCTAAAACCATATTTTTAATACCCTGGCGGACGTATGACAATCCCCAAAAATTACCATATTTAAATTGTTACTATTGATATATTTCGATTCCGAACTTAACTCAATACATGCAAAAAAAAACTAGCGAATGTTATTTATTATCTCCGATGGGTGGATGATTGAGAAACGTTTCAATAAATCTACCTTTCTCTCTCTCTTTTTCTATATAGGTAACTCATTCTCTCTATCTATTACTTTCCACAATCCGAATTTACACTTTGTCCCCAAAAATCTTGTAAAATTTTATCTGCTTAACTTCTTCGCGTTGTTCATATGGCTGAATTTTTTGGGGAGATATATCGTGCGTTATTTCTATTAAAATTCTGTTTCCCTTTTTACCTACTTCAAAAACGTAAGCGAGCATTTTTGGTTGTTTTATTAAACAAAAATGGATACTAAACAAGATCCGTATCTCGGACCTCAGCCTCCTTTGATCACTCCCCATTTTTTTTTTAATTAAGTATAGAAACCTCGTCGAACATATACATAATACTAGGTCAAAATGTTACGCGGCTACTCATTAAAGTCGCAATTCCGAAAGCTTCTTACCTATCTTTTTCCAGTCTTTTTTGTTTTATTTATCCGTATATGAAATACACAATGGACACAAAACTTAAACTCGTTGGCGATATTGCATTAAGCAACAAACGTGGATAACAGAAACAAACCCTTTACACAAACGCTTCTTTAAACTTCGACTGGCACGTGAAACAACCCGCATTCCTACGAAAGGCAGGTAAACCAAGCAGGTCAAATTTAAGCTACCCTCCAGTGTCGTCGTAGGTTCGGGCATAGTAAATAACGAATACAACAAAGCGGTAATTTTTAATAATTTAATTTGCATTTTATTTAACTTAAGTTGTTATGTAGAAAATGTGACATTTCTACAATTAATCAATATACTACGAATACTTTTCCGCTTAATTACTACTTTGAGAAACAAAAGAAAACGTTAGATTCCATTCAAACTTTTTCGGTTTTCATAATATCTCGCGTTTATTTAGAAGCTAATGGCCTGTGGCCATTAACCAGACGTTTCCAAAGGCTGGTTTGATATTATGTATATAAATCTTAACAAACACAAAAATAGAGTTATATTGCCACCGAAAATCTGAATTTATGATTAAAAATGTAACTTCCCTTATTTAAACTATTGCCTGCATTAGCGCCTATATTTTATAGTTTTTTTGTATCCTATTTTTTTTTGTTTTGCTTGCAAATGTGTGTCCATTTTTGGGTACTGATTTTTTTTTTCTCAAATTATTACAAATTACTCAAAACGGAGTTAAAAAAAGACGAGGAGAAAAGGGAAGAACCCTTATTTCTCCGACACTGACCTCCGATTTTTATAAAAATTGACGCCTTGACACCCTGCCCGTGAATATTTTGCAAAGGATTTTTAAAATTTAACTTCCAAATAACGCATACTCTCGCCTAGTGTCACAGTTTTGGGCCCCATTTTGCTATGGTTAGACAGGTTTATTCTTGTACATTGTCGGGACAAAAGAAGCATCTCCTTCATCCAAATGGACTTTTTCATACCTTATACAACAGCTCCCGGGCGTCATCTCGCCTTAAATGTTTCTATTGAATTAATTTTAGTTACAAAAAATTAGATGATCGTCAAAATTGGCATAAAAAGATAATCAAGATTTAATTAAACAAGAATATGCACAAAAGAAAAGAGATAAACTCCGACACGGGAAACAAGGAAATATCGCTAAAACGGCAACTGATCGAGCGTGCGCCTTTTTTAAAAATAATAATTATTTTTCATAAAAATTCTAGGCTAAGCTAAATACCTGGTGCAACAAAATATTGAAGAATCTTCATGATCCTACCCGTGAGCGAGTAGAAAATTATTTGCAAAGAGGATAAAGGTATATCTTAATATAAATCGTTTATAAATTATTTCACTATTGATAATATGTCCCCTTTTAAAATGGCGCATTAGTTGATACGTACTTTTTCTTGTCAAAAAAAAAGCGGGATGGATGGAGGTACTCCGTCAGGTTTTTTCCTGTCGAAACAAGTATGTGAGGCGTTCGCTTTGGATCTGGGGAACGGGTGGGGGTTATACATATATAAGCTATAAGAAATTTAAATTTTTATTCAGTTTCCACTCATACAATTTTTTGATAAGTGCAGAGTGAGAAAAATGTCCGAAGTCGAAAATTATCCAACGCAAGCATTGGATTCGTGGGGAAGATTTGTGGTCTATGCGGAAATAATCCGCGAACAAAAATACATTTACGAGGCAGCAATTACGCTGTCGGAATTCGGACTAGAAATTACCTCAGGTCTTAGCCCCGCAAGAATCTTCGCTCCAGCAGTGAAAGTGAGCTTTCTCCCCTACGCTTTATCGGAGAAAAGAAGCAGTTTTTTTGGTAAATTATATACGAGAATCTCCGTTGTAGGGGTAATTTCTGAAGGTTTCATTCCGGTGGCACTATGTTTTGTTTGATTATATTTTGTTGTTATTTTTTTTTCTTTAATAAAGTTATTTTAAGCAATTAGTTGTTTTTTTTTTACTTTTTTTATGTGGGGTAAGGATAAAAGACACACACACTGAATGTTATAAAATATTTATTATTATTAGTTTACAGATAAATTTCTATTAAAACACAGGTATGTCCCACGCTATCCTTTTGTTGATATGTTGTTTTATCTGCATTTTTCCAAAACGCATGTAGTCCTCCATGCAGTAGCTCTGCTCACTCTCTTCTGTAGAACATAAATATTCTATATGCGGAAAGATTTTGGCGTCTTCCAGCAAATTTTCATGTATAGTCAAATACAATATTCTATCGTAGTACTCGTAAAAGTTCAAACGAGACAGTACTCGTATTCTTTTAAATACCAATTTGCTTATGGTAATTAATTCCTGTACCCAGTCTTTCGAAATATAGAGTATACCCTCGCCATTTTCAATCTTGACCAAGACTTCACCATCACATTGTAGACAGCTGAGTTTGAAGGAGGTTAAATACATAACTTTACCAGTCGGGCCTGCTGACAATATCAGTGGAAGCTGTTGTATTAATTCTGTGAAGTCTATCTCGTCGAACGAAATGCCTCTTTTCTCCGACAAAGCGTAGGGGAGAAAGCTCGCTTTCACTGCTGGAGCGAAGATTCTTGCTGCTAAATTAAATTAAAATTCGGTGACCCACCCTGTACATGAGCAATAATGTAGCTAATCAATTGAACTTTGTGTGACACACCCTGTATATGTGCAACAGTCAAATTAAATCAGTGATCAAAATATTTCATAAGGGAAGGTAAAGAAAACAATGCGTCCTGTATATTTTAGGCAGCCCAACAAATACCGGTATCTAGATTATACAATGTTTAACTATATAGCACCGCAACACATAAGAATTTAAAATTCACACCGAAATTGACAAAAATATTCTCAACACAATAGAAATTGCAAAACACCCGCTATGCGCGAGACAATGCAAAACAAAATGGCGACGAAACACGATAATGCAATAATTATAGGACACAACCAATCAATCTCGCTATTTGCAAAGTATATGAGCCGTATATGTAATTGACAAGGCTTTTATTCCCCTAGTGCACCCTGTACGTTCCCGGAGTGTGGTGAATAGAATTTGATACAACTAAGCGGATGTTACTAGCGGAAAGTTAGTCGCAGCATACATTCACTCCCAATAGGTACAAAATAAAAAACCA